CTAAAATAAATCACGAGTATGTAAATCGGCTTATTTCTGAATTTTTCATTTTTCCGCGAGTTTTCATTCAAAATTCTATCGAAGAATTTCCGTCTCGCCGTTTCTAATTTCCTGCACTCGGCTCCGCTAAAAACTAGCAAAATAATCCCGGCCAACATTTTCCAAACAAACCACTCGAGTGTGCGTCGCGGAGTTAGCTTCGCGTCGAATCAACGAAATGATAATCACCGTCTCGTTATCCAACAGCTTAAGGGAACCATTATCGCCTGGGCCGCGTATCTTTCGATCGTCGAGCGATTATCGCGAAGCGTTTCGCGTGTGCCACGCTCGTGAACCGAACAATCATCGGCCCCAACCGAGATTTCGGATTGGATTTCGCGTCGGTTTGGCCTCGATCGGGATTAAAGCGACCCTAATTACTCTTAATGTCTTGCACATTTCATTGCTGCCACTCTTGCACGCCACTACTTGACCAGTTCCACGAGAACTGGCCACACGACGGCTGCAGTTCTCTTGGTAATCTTAATAATGCGTCTGAAGAGGCTTCTTCGTCGATTTCGCCATTCGTTTCTCGATGCACCTTGCGATCGATCACGCGACGCGAGTTTCACGACTTTGTTTTTTCCCTTCTTCTCCTTCTTTTCCCTTCTTTTCTCCTCGAGACTTCTTTGAGAATGATTTGAGTGTTCTTAAACGTCGATATCGATTGTACCGAACAGTTCTCGTTGATCGAAATTCTATTCTTCTTCATTTTCTTTTTTATATTGGTAACTGCGTTTTCTTCGTCTGTTGTTTCATTTTTTTCTCTTGGAAACTTCTTATCTTTGTCTGTTGTTCCATTTTTTTTGTATTGGTAACTGCGTTTTCTTCGTCTGCTGTTTCATTCTTTTCTCTTCTTTTCTCTTGGAAGCTTCTTTGAGCATGATTCGATTGTTTTTAAACATCGGTAATGTCGATTGCACAGAACGGTTTATCGATCGAAATTCTATTCTTCATTTTTTTTTTTTTGTATTGGTAATTGCGTTTTCTTCGTCTGTTGTTCCATTTTTTTGTATTGGTAACTGCGTTTTCTTCGTCTGCTGTTTCATTCTTTTCTCTTGGAAGCTTCTTT